CTTATAAATCTTTGACTAATCCCTCTTTTGTAATCTCACTTCTTAGTCATACTTTCTGACTCTGAGGCCAGAACCCTCTCTCTTTCAGTTCCTTACATCGTTTTCTAGACACTAACTTCTCTGCCCATTTCATTGGTTTACTTGCCTGCACCTGTTTTCCAGGTATTTATTGAAATCTGTCATCAGCTGGTGGCCACTAACACTCCCAATCTTGTGCCTCATCTTCTCTACTTCCTTTTCTGTTATAGTTATGCCTTCATCGTACTTTTTATTTTTATTTCAATGGGATCTCAGGAGCAATGGGAGGCAAACACATATTTCTGCCATTTTGAATCTCTCCAAGTTGGCTTGAGAAAAGCTACCAGCTTAGTTTCCATTCTGAACTTTAGGAAATTCTTGATTATTTCCATTGTATAGTCTTCTCTGTTTATTTAGTATCTCCATGGATAGACTGAAAAGTCTACAAGAGCTATAGTTATACATGCTATTTCATTTGTTTCTTCTGTAGAGCCAGAGACTCAACTGTAAGGAGTTTCAGGATCTCAAATGTAGGTGCTACTGTTTAAGTGCTAGACCCCTTCTATCTAACTTTACTCTTCAGTTCTACCTCCTCTCCTGTTTCTTTAAGTCTGCTTGCCTTGGTCTCTTGTTTCTTGCCCAATCATCTTTCTCCTAGGACTGCTTCTTCAGTAGGTCCTCTTCCCAATCCCTTCTCAGTCTATGGAGGTACAGCAGCTTTTTCCTCTCAGTCTTGCCTTCCCTTACTCCTCACATTCACCATTATGTGAGCTGTTTGCAGACACTTCAGTAGGCCATCCATATTTCTCCTTCGTATTCCTTCTCTGCATTAAGATTTCCCAGGAATACTCTGAATAATTTTGAGACTCAACAATTTTCAATTCATGACCAATATTTCTTAATCCCTATTCCCATTCCTTCTTTTCCTCATATTATTTTGAAATAAATATGAGATATCACATCATTTCCTTCTCAAATATTTTAGTATGTATCTCAATAAGAGCTCTTTAA